TCCAATCACGAAGAATTCTTGAAATCAACAACAGTCACACAGAATGATAGTTGCAAATAATTATTTATCGTTATGAAAGACCGAAAATTTCATGATATAAGTGACATTTCATCGACATTACTATCTTCCCGCAAGAATAATTATTTGTACACTCAAAAAATATAATCTCGTCTTTAGCAAAATTCTCGCTAAATATTTTTTTTTTTCAAGTATGACTATCATCTTACGTACTTCTGATTGGTCTCAAAAATTCTTCATGATTAAATCTTTCTAAATATTAAACGTCACGCACACGCGAATTTTTAATTTAATGCGTCGAATTTTACTTTATACACAGTTTTATATATATATATATATATATATATATATATATATATATATACACACACACACACCCGCGCGAGTTGTCTACAATGCTGTCAGTTACGTTTTAAAATTGTAGCATTCCTCTGTGAATCGATCATATAGAAAAGACCGTAGATAGATGCTCAATATTTTAGAATTTCGAAGTCACAACTTTTTACACAAGTAATTGTCGTAGCTGACTGCAAACACTAATTGTTATCACGGATTGTAAATACAATAGAGATAGCTTTCTTCTATGCTCGCCACGATTCACGTATGTTTTGTTTTATAACAATCAAAATACAAACAGCAACGTAGCTGTCTTGCTGTGGTATCAAGTTCGGTTACTCAAAATAGCATAAGGTAAAGAAGGCTACATAAAATATGTATCCTGGTTAGTGGAGGTCTCCCCACGAGAGATCTTCATAGCTCTCCTGCCAACCTTTAATTATGAGCCAACTTTACGCTCGCCCATTAGCTCGATTTCAATAATTCTATGAATGAAAATTGTTCTTATTAAACCGAAACAGTATAGCACTTACAAGAAACTTTATCCTGGCTAAAAACACGTCGCTTAACTTTATTCACTCACGATGAAAAATATTAATACAAAATTTCGAGAGGCTCGAAAATTTATTTTGCTATTACTAAATCAATTTTTTCTATTTTTGAACTGCAATATTGTTCCGATTTTAGTAAAACTCTGTTTTTTAGAAAGGTTATTTTACGCGATTCTATATCTACTTTTCTTCTCTTAAAATAAATGTTTAAAAAAATCTACCGTTATATATTTTAAGGCAAATGGGAGCCAATCGCAGTATTCAGTTCGTGATTAATTTTCATTACAAGAGGATAATAACGATGTATCGCACATATCAGAATTTTTTTCTGTCATAACGTACGTTGAACAATTTTCTCTATCCTTTAACCGATCCTGTATCCCATTTTATTCTAAATTAAATTAACAATTCCCAATCCCGCGCGCCATTATTGCGTGACATTTAGCAATTTTTTGTCTGTATATTAGTGTTGCGAAAAATACTACTTATTAAAAAAAAGCACATGAGCAATATATCTCTGGGACCATCTAGAACCGATCTCCCCTACTTGTTTTCTTTGCGTAAACTCGCTCAATGAAAAATGCAAAGTTTCACTGACGAGTTCAATAAAACTGTTCATTTTTCACGCGAAGAAAATAGGTGCGTGATCGATTCACGTGCTGCGACTTTAAGACGTAGCTACGATCACATTGTAGACGAGCCTTTATACATAATTGCTTCCATAATTACGAATTAGGGAAAATATCTATCTCCGTCGTTCTCACATCGATGACATGGATGTCGTTAACATTACTTTTTGCTGTACTTTGATTTGGCGTGCGTTCTGCTTTCTAGCGATACCAGTAGCGATTTTTCCGTCGTATTGTTTTACGTAGCTTCGCGCACGATCGCGGACGAATCTAATGACGATAAGAAAGCTTTGACTGACGTCTTCATTGTTCGGTTGAAAGTTCGCCGCGGACAATGAGGCTATTCGTAGCCGACGCAACGAGCAGAACAATACTTGTCGGCACAAATATTGCTCGTGCACCGGCGATGCTTTATGTCGGTTTCTTACAATGAAGTTCAGCGAGGTAGAATGCATTATAATCTCTGGCCTACCCGACAATAAAATGGTCCACTCGGGTCGAAAAAGGCGTATTGAGCGAGTGGGACGTAAATGCCGAATAAATGATTACTGGCATGTATTGAGAAGAAAGCGAAACGAAATAGCATGTATTTCTGACTCTCATTAGCAAGTTATATTTCAGGAGAGATTGGTCTTACAAATCCTAGATCGTTTTTTGATATCTCTAAATTTGAAAAAGTTTAATTAAACAAGTGCATCTCTTCATTATTTTCTAATTTTATCATGTTGGGCGGTCTTCAGTGATTGTGATCTTCAGTTCACTGCGATACCACCGCGTATCGTTAATTTGCTCATGAAATATAATTAATTGCATTTGAAGTATCGTTTTTGCAGTCACTATAGAGCGAATGGCACGAATTGAAAGATACATGCGTCTTGGATTACATTTATTTACTGTTTGACAACTCAAATGTCGATCAATCTTTTATGCAATCAACAGAAATCTACACAACAGTTAACGTGTTAATCAAACCTTACTTTAACAAATATTCAATTTTATTTATTAGTTTTAACATGTTGAATGTCAAGGGGTAGTTACCATTGTTGTGATACCATTGCGATATCACTGTATCTCATTAATTTACTTCTGGAGTATAATTAATTGCATTTGAAAAATCGTTTCTGTAGCTAATAAAGGATCGATGACACGAAAAATAAAAGGAATAAAAAGTCCACGCGTCTCGAATTACATTCATTTGTCGTGTCTTTGGTAACTCAATCGCCGATTAAACTTTGACGGAAATCAACGTGCTAATTTTGAATATTATCTTAACGAATATTCAACTTAGATCAGTATTAATAGTTGTTACATAAAACTTAGTTCAGGTGAGATACTCAGATTTTTATTCAGAGTCAGATCCAAGTTTTTCAGTTGAATTATGATAAACGTGACATTCACACTATATTGCGATTCAATAGAAAATCAAACTCTAAAATGAAATCTGACTATCTCCCTTAAGATGAGTTTCAAGTAATGACTATTAATACGGACCGTCGATTTCTCAAACACAACTCTCAACGAAGAGGATATCCGGTGATTTTGTGGCGTCCTGTATAATGCCAGAACGGTCGGGAAAATGATAAAATACGCATTTTCTGCTCTTTTATGTCGCGTGCAATTCTATGTAATTTCTCAAATTTCATGAAGCGCATTACACACAGCATTATCTTCATATCTGCGAGTATTTCGCGTGTAATGAGTGCATGTGTTGACAATCGCACCACGTTGATTGGTCATTTTGTGATTTCGAATCTGCTGCCTTCGAGAGGACAAATCGGGACGACGTGACGAAATTACAACGTCGAAATTCGTTGGAACGTTTGTTGTTACGCGGGCAAGTCCCTCTCTCTGCGTCCCACCGCGTCTGATTAATCATCGTACCGTGTGGATATTGTTAAATTATTGATTCGTTATTAGGCGATCTCGCGTCTCTGCGCTAACGAACTGATTGATTTCAACAGAACTATCGCGCCGATAATGCGCGAAGAATCACAATGAAACGGAAACTCGCCCGGCGAAATCAGCGTTATTTAAAATCACGCGAATTGCGCTTCAAACAACCGACTGCGAGTTTCCACGCGGCAAATGAAAACGCGAAATTGCGTGTTGCAGTGCGAGACGCGAAATAGCGTCGGCAGGGGTGTCCTCTCATAGACGATTCAGCTTCTGACCAAACGTTGCTGCAAAAACAAAATCGTGTGTGTGTGTGTGTGTGTATGTGTGTGTGACTTGGGAGCTATAATTAAGTCGCCAAGATAAATCGTGAGAAAAGATCCTGATGTCAGGATCAGTTAATTAAATCGCGCACGTTTGATGTGAAGCGCGTGTCGTGTGGGAACATGCGGTCGTTTGGAAGACGGTAGAACATATCGGAGGTCTGATCGCCATCATGGAGGAGCGCGATTTTGACAGAGACGACACCATGGACACGGACTCGTTGGAGTTCGAGGTAAAAACAGGCGAGCGTCGTAGTTTCGTAGTTTAATGGAATCGCGATAACGATCCAGCCGCCTCGTTTTACTTCAGACAGAAGTATATTAGGTTGGCGCAAAAAATTTGTCGGTCTTTTCCTGCTGAATTCTCAGAGGAGATTAAAGAGAAAGTAGGAAATCCTCATTGGATACAAAAGAAATTCAATGTTACTAATATTTTACTCGTGAAAATTATTAATTTTTCGAAATTACACAATTCCATACGGATGGAATTTTGTAGTCTAGGAATAGATCGACATTCTCTGCAGTAATTAACTATCCTTTCATTTCATGTGTGCTATTTATATTGCAGAAACTGAAATATGTTACAATATTAAAAAATCGTATTTCTAACAACAGTAAAATTCTAACAAAATTTATTTTGCTTCTTAATAAGATAGAGATCTTACTGACAGTCTATTTCTGCACTAAAGACAATGTTATAGTTTAAAGAAATCGCGAACAACAATCCGGCCATTTTATTCGATAGAAATAGATAAGAAATAGATAGAAATAGATAAGAATGGTGCAAAAAATCTATCATTTTTTCTACTAAATTCCCAGAGGAAGTTTGAATATTAAAGAAAAAGAATGAAGTCCTCATTAGAGAGATATAAAAAAAATGCCGAGTGTTGCTCATTTTATTCGTAAAAATTATTAATCTTTCATCTCGTATGTGTTATTTATATTTTAGGAACTGAAATGTACAAATTGAAAAATTTGTTATGTTTATAATGAAATTAACTAGGTTCCTTAACAAAATAGACTTTAGTAAACTAGACAGTCTATTCTTGTGCTATTAGAGACATAGTAAAGTAGCAAAGAATTGTAATATAAGAAGAAAATTTGTAACATTCTTTCTGAATATTTTTAATTTTTATTTGATTTTACGTGATTAGTCTTTTGCAACGTAACATTTTCCGCAAATATGTCTTTCATTTATTTTAACGTCTTGTCTTTTTAACGTGTTGTGTGTGTTTGTTTTATTTTTGCAGGCCACACAATTGTCGTCATGCCCGAAAAAATTGGACCTCAGCAAAGGGGGTCTGTCGAGAATTCCCGACAGCGCAATCGCTTTTCCGGCAATAGAAGAGTTCGCGTTAGGATACAATCACCTCACCAACGTCGACAACAACCTGAAGCTTCTGCACAGGTAAAATGCATTTTTTTATCTTTCCCGCAAAAATTCTATCACGATGTAAAAGCGTCAAAAGAAAAATCATGAGTAAGAACTTTGTAAGAATTTGATCTTTTCGTTTGTGCTGCCCCGATCTTTTCGATCGATTTCAATAACGGGAAAAAAGAAGCGCCAAGTAACAACCAAATATATTTGCATACCGCGAAGGTCGGCGAAGGAAGAGAACTGGGAAATAAATTGAGGAGGAAAGAAAAAAGAAAATCGTACGATAGCAAAAATAAAAGTAAAAGTTAAATTAATTGTTGCGGAACACGCGGAATGGAGTGAAGTAGAACGAATAATTAAACTCTGATAAGAATGAAAAAGAAGAAAAAGATAGGGAAAGAGTGAGGGAAACGCGAGCGCGCGCCCGATAACACAATGCGGCGAAATTACAAGGAAACTTTAATTGGTAGTTAATTCGTACGTAACTCTATTCCCGCGAAGGTTCCCAAAACTTCGTGCCGTCCATCTGGAGAGCAACGATCTCCGGAGGATCCCGCGGGAGCTGCTGGAGCTGCCGGCGTTGACCTATCTTAATCTCTCGGACAACAAGATCGAGATAATTCCGCCTGACGTCTGCCAGCTGGTCAAGTACGTGTGTAATTTCATATTTATGCGATTCGCCTCGTGTTCTCTCGGTCTTATCGAGGCCGAGCGCGAAAGTAGATTAGATAGAATGATTCCTGCTCCAATTTGGCGAAATCCGCTTCGACTGTTTGTCTCGCGTTATCTGAAAGGACCTACGATCGCGGATCGAGTTCTTCTTCTTCTCGTTTCTTTTTATTAATTACTTTTTATCGCTTGTTTGTCATTTGTGTGACTTTGATCAGAAAGTACGGAGTTCATCGTCGAGTGTCGCGAAGCTCGGAGATCTCTTTTCATCTCGTCGATACTTCTACATTAACGTGACATACTAGCATGAAAAAAAGAAATTATTAATAAACAGTAAATATTTATCTAGCGGGTACTAATAACACACATATATACATATATTGCTATATTATATATTATTATACACAGAGAGAATGATTTATTGAATCAAATAAATGTTTCTTTGGAATAGTCCAAACAAATTATTTGGTTGACACAACAAAAATATTTCTTTGGAACTAAGCCGCAAATAAATATTTTTGTTGTTTCAAACAAAATTTTGTTCGATCAATCAAAAAATTCGTTTGGATTATTCCAAAGAAGTGTTTATTTGATTCAACCAAATCGTTCTCTCTGGATAGGAATATATAGATTTTTATAAAACTTGAAGAAAGTCTTAGCTTTTTATATAAGCAATTATTTAAACAGAAGAATTTAGATTTAAATATGTTGTTAGATTTAAATATGTTGTTTTATGGTGTCCGCAAATAAATATTTACTTCGTCTTTTTTAGATATTTTATCTCTCAGTAGAGTCACATTTCCTGCCAACGGCATTGTGTTCCATTTTATGCGAGGTTTAAAATTAATTGATATTAAGCATATATTATATAAATTAATTGATATTAAGAATATATTATATAAATTAATTGATATTAAGCATTAACGATATCTATTATATAGATGTATATAACGTTAATAATATATATATATATATACATATGTGTGTGTGTATGTGATGTGTGTAGGTATGTATACAGATACACACACATACGAGGTCTATTTTCCTATTCGACGTAATCGCCGTGCGGCGTTAACTATGCACTAACACATGCGGCTGAATTTTCCCTCCATATCGCCTGATTTATGCGCGTCAATCTAGGAGCACAATTAATTACCAACGCATTAATCACGCGCTATTGTCGATCAGCGCTGATAACGTGTGCTCGTGTGGAAAATCAACGCGCGCGATAATGATCGAGTAATGCCGTTAGCTCTCCGGTCTGCCCAAAAACACACGGCGATCGTCGACAGCAGACTGTAGATCCGAATGGAAATTCTCCGGCGATAAGATCGGGGAAATATTAAGCGCGACGAATGAAAAGCGAACGAAAGCGATTATAATTCCCTTGCCCGGAGTCTCACGGGGAAGGGGGGGAGGTACACGCGTCGGGAATATTTATTTTTTTCTTCTTCAAATGAATTTTAACAGCGATGTTATACGAGATAGTCACAGAAATTGGCTTTCATCTTCATTCAATTGGCTTTCACTTGTTACAAAACTACATTCTACTTTTAATCCCGACAAGCGCACAACCATTCCTCTTTCTTCCGTTTCCTCAATGGATCTCAATGGAAGAAAAGGTAGGTGCAAAGCGAGAGAAAAGGGAAGCGCGTGGTTTACACACAAAAAAACTAACTTCCAGAGCTAAAAAAATAGCTGTGGCAGATACGATGTGTCACTGAAATAGGGACAGCTAATGTCGATAGTACCAAAGCTAAATTTATTCGCTGTTTAAAATTAGGCGCTACAGCGAGAAATATTAGCTGCTAGAAACAAATGACTGTAACAAATGATTATAGCTGTGCGGCAAATTTCTTTAATATATGCATACGATAAGAAATTTAGGAATAACTGCCATTTTCTTAGCTACTTGAAATAATGTGCATTTTTAATGTCACCTAATATATTTATATTTCATAGCAAATGCATTTTAGCTGTCATAGCCAATTCTTAGCAGTGGCAGCTAAACTATTAGTCTTTTGACTAAGTTTGAATCAGCTACCGCGGTTTAGCTGATATCACTAAGTAATTTTTTTGCGTGCACCTACGTAACGCTACATGAGACGAAATTCAAATTATTACGATAAGAAATTTAGGAATAACTGCCATTTTCTTAGCTACTTGAAATAATGTGCATTTTTAATGTCACCTAATATATTTATATTTCATAGCAAATGCATTTTAGCTGTCATAGCCAATTCTTAGCAGTGGCAGCTAAACTATTAGTCTTTTGACTAAGTTTGAATCAGCTACCGCGGTTTAGCTGATATCACTAAGTAATTTTTTTGCGTGCACCTACGTAACGCTACATGAGACGAAATTCAAATTATTACGATAAGAAATTTAGGAATAACTGCCATTTTCTTAGCTACTTGAAATAATGTGCATTTTTAATGTCACCTAATATATTTATATTTCATAGCAAATGCATTTTAGCTGTCATAGCCAATTCTTAGCAGTGGCAGCTAAACTATTAGTCTTTTGACTAAGTTTGAATCAACTACCGCGGTTTAGCTGATATCACTAAGTCATTTTTTTGCGTGCGCCTACGTAACGCTACATGAGACGAAATTCAAATTATTACCAAACTGAACTTTACTTTTGCGCGCCACGCACTCTCCCCGGCTGTCACATTCAACAAGTGTATCCTGGCACTTGACGTATCCCGCACTCTGTGTGCCACTTTGCCTCGCAATTTATTCCCGAGGCGCGAAAATCCGGAAGGGGTAGCGCTCAGTCGGTTCCCCGGTCGCGCGACTTCGGCCATCGCGAAAATCTAATCTCGCGATCGCGGCCGTGCACAATCGAAACGGCGATTACGTAAAAGTTTCTTGAAAACCGCTTTCCACCGGCCGGAAATGAGGATGCCGTAGCTCCGCGGGCGGAGGAACTACGGGTCTGAACACGACGACGACAACGACGACGACGACGACGACGACGCTACACGCGCCCGTACGGCAGCTACACACGCGCGAAGTAAAAGTGCCTCTCGCACATTTCACCGCCGATGAATCTACGAGCGAATTTGTAGAGTTCAGTCCCGACAATCCGACTCGCAAGCGTCGGAGACTTGAGACTGTCAACGAGAATTTTAGGAGTGGAACGTTAAAGTTTTTTTTAAACATACCAGTGACCTAGAAAATATCCAAAAGTTTTATCTCGTTTATTTGCTCGAGTCAAAATTTTGACCCTATGTTGAACCTTGAATTCTACACCGTAGTAGGAGCAAAGTAGATTTAATTCTAATGATATAATTTGACTCCTACTTTGACTCTGATGATGTCTAAAATTTCTGCTTTCGCGCTTTTTTTAGCGTCAAAGTAAGTTGTATAATAATAGGATCTTAAGAAGCAAAGTAGGTTCAGTTGCGAATCTCTATTGAAACTTTAGCTCCTATAGAAAATATGTGCATTTTATAGAAATATTTAAAAAATTTAATATATAAATAAACCTCAAATAGCATACAAAATATACATTTTATTTGTTGCATATATTTCAGACATCATCAGTATCATCATCAAAGTAGGAGTAAATTATATCACTAGAATTAAACCTACTTTGCTAACTTAGCTCCTACTGCGATGTAGAAGGTTCAACATAGGATCAAAATTTCAACTCAGAAATGAGTGTTAATATCGTCAAAATAGGTTTCACCTAAGTTGTAAATTATTTAAGTAGGCTCAAACATATTTAAGAGCGTCAAAGTAGCGTCAAAATTTTGACAAAGTAAAGTTAAAAGTTAAAAAAAGAAGTTAATGAGTATCAATATCGTCAAAGTAGGTTTTACGTACTATAAACTGTCTAAGTAGGTGCAAATTATCGTTAAGAGCGTCAAAGTAGCATTAAAATTTCGACTCGGGTGGTTCATTTATCTTACCGAATTCACTTTTTCATTTACTTGAGTCTTTTCATTCCCTTAGATTTCACGCGCTGAACGTCTTAATTATCAATTATAGAGATACAACGTACGTAAAATTAAAAATAAATCTGTACAGTTCGTTTCTGATGTGTACTAAGCATAACACGAAATATCAAAATTGTCTAAACATTAAAATTATTTTCTAAACACATTAGTAGTCTAGAAAATATCTAGAACTTTGATCTCGCGTGTTTTACTCATTTGTGTTCTCATTTAATTTTATTTATTTATTTATTAGAATCTATTCACTCACCGTCACTAGACACGTGTTGAACATCTTAATTAGAACTATAGAGATAGTAATATAGAGAACGTACATAAAATTAAAAATAAATTTCTACAATTTGTTTTCAATGCGTATTAAAAATGGCGCGAAACGTCAAAATAATTTTCTAAATATATTAGTGAGAGATATGCAAAATAATTGAACAATCTCGTTCAGTTCATTTATTTATCTTCCCATTAAATATCATTTATTTATTTATTATGGTCTTTTTAGTCATTTTAGGCCCACGATGAGTAGTTTAATTATCAATTATAGAAATACAATGTACATAAAATTGTAACGTAAAATTATATATAATACCAAACATGAAAATTATTTTTTAAACTCATTGAAATTTAGTGTTTTACAAAACTTGTTTTCCCATATTAATGAATAAATATCTAATAAATAAATAAATTAAATGAAAACACAAATGAGTAAAACATATGAGATCGAAGTTTTAGATATTCTTTAGACCACTAGTGTTTAGAAAATAATTTTAATGTTTAGACAATTTTGTCATTTCGTACTATCTTTAGTACTCATCGAAAACAAACTGTACAAATTTATTTTTAATTTTACGTATTATTGAAATTCAGTATTTTACAAAACTTGTTTTTCCATTCAATTTCATTTATTTTAACCTTTTTAGACCCGCGTCAAACTTAATCATCAATTACACAAAGAAAAAAGGTTTGGTTGAATTAACCAAGTATCTGATATGAACGATCCAGAAATTCCGATTAAAATAAC